GGCACTCATTTCTCCACCAGCTCATGATCTGTCCATCCCATCTCAGTGTGTGGCTGTGTTTGACCACTTTGAGCCCATCTCTCTGTCCTCTCTGGAGCAGGTAATGTGCAGCATGAAGCCATCTGGTTCCCCCTTTGATGTGGTCCCCCCTAGATTACTAAAGGAAGTTTTTCCTACCCTGGGTCCTTTTATCCTCGCTATTCTGAATAGCAGTTTATCCTCAGGTGTGGTGCCAAAAACTTTTAAACATGCTGCTGTCCAGCCCCTCCTGAAAAAACCTAACCTTGACCCCTCAGTCATGTCCAACTTCCGGCCTGTCTCCAGACTCCCATTCACCTCTAAACTACTGGAAAAAATTGTGGAGTCTCAGTTTAAACAGTTTTTGGGGGATCACGCTATCCTTGAGTTATTCCAATCTGGCTTCAAATCTCTCCATAGCACTGAAACTGCTCTACTGAAGGTTTTTAATGACATTTTCATATCCACAGACGCAGGTGATTCTGTGCTGCTTGTCCTATTGGACCTTACATCTGCTTTTGACACCATCGACCACAAGATCCTCATTTCTAGACTGGAGCAGTGGGTGGGCATCACAGGGTCAGCCCTTAAATGGTTTGGGTCCTACCTCTCTGACAGAACCTTCTGTGTCAATATCAAAGATTTTAGTTCGGCATCGACAGCGCTCCAGTGGGGGGTACCGCAGGGGTCCATCCTCGGTCCCCTTCTTTTTTCTTTATACCTGCTGGCACTAGGTGCTATCTTCCGCAAACACAACATACCCTTTCATTTCTACGCCGATGATTGCCAAATTTACTTCCCCCTGAGGCACAGAGGCACACGCTCTATTCAGCCTCTTCTTGACTGCCTGGCTGACATCCGGGACTGGATGGCTTTAAACTTCTTAAGCTTCAATGAGAAGAAGTCTGAGGTTATGCTGTTCCATCCCAGTGGCTCACTCATGAACCATGACATTGACCTTTTCTCTCTAGCCCCGCTAGAGAAACAAAAGGTCACTAATCTGGGGGTGATAATGGACCCGTCCTTAAAACTCAACAGTCACGTAAACATGATGGTCAAATCCTGTTTTTTTCAGCTGAGACGGCTGTCTAAGCTGAAACCTATACTCTCCAAAAAGAACCTTGAGACAGTGATCCACGCCTTCATAACATCTAGGCTTGATTACTGCAATTCACTTCTGTTTGGAATCAGTCAGTCCTCCATTGCTCGTCTACAACTGGTCCAAAATGCTGCAGCCCGATTTTTAACTGGTACAGGCTATAGAGAGCACATCACGCCAATTTTGGCCTCCCTGCACTGGCTACCCATTCACCTTCGGATCCAATTCAAAATTCTCATGTATGTTTTTAAATCACTGAACAGTTCCGCCCCATCCTATCTCACTGATCTTCTGCAGCCATATATCCCACCGCGCTCTCTGAGGTCGGCAGACCAGATGCTTCTCTCAGTCCCAGAAACCCGTCGTAAGCTCAGAGGTGACAGGGCTTTCTCTGTCGCAGGTCCACGACTGTGGAATGAGTTGCCACTGAGTGTCCGGCAGGCTCCCACACTCTCAGTCTTTAAGTCTCGCTTGAAGACCCACTTCTATTCTCTTGCCTTTAACACGGTGTGATTTGTTTTGGTCCGGTCTGTACTCTACACTGTTGGCCATTTTAGTTAGCTTCTGCTGCTATTTGTATCTGTATTTCTATTTTATGTTTTCCTGTCCGCTGTGCATGTTTGTTTTCTTTTGTACAGCACTTTGGTTGGCCTTGTTGCTGTTTTAAGTGCTCTATAAATAAAATTGGTATGGTAAACAAGAGAGCTCTACAGACCCACTGAGACCCAGGAACCACATTAGCCAGGGCCATGGCGATGGGCAGTTCCCCCTGGTCCCCCATCATAGTGACAAGCTCCACCAGCCTCTCAAAGCGGTCAGCCAGCACCGTCTCAGCCAGCGTGTCAAACTCAGTCCCCTGCTGCAGGATCTTAGTCAGCACCTCCATGAACGTAGCTCGAGTCTGAAGGTCCTTGTGATACCCCAAGCCTAAAAACAAAAACAAATCTATGCTGTTTCTGTGCACACCTCAACAATACGAGCTGAATAATATGCTGAGTGGCAGGAGGGTTGGGCCAACGGCCTGTCAGTCCAACAGTTGACAATTGATGATTTATTTGTGCAGATGTGTTTAATTTGTATTTATTATGAGAAGGAGCAGACAGAGTACTCCCAGCTGCTTCATTATAACATACCATGACTTGTATGATTATTCTTAAACAATTTTTTGCTGGTTGACAAGTAACAACTGTATGTTGTTACTTGTCATTTTGAATATATATATATATATATATATATATTTTTTTTTTTTTTACAGAAATTTTTGCAAATTTAAATAAATAACCTAAATTGTGCAAATGTGTGTGCCAAGTCATTATTTATATGGCACGACTCTTCCAAGAAAAATTTACCTTTGCTAAAATAAAATTTAAAATATCGTCCTTTCAAGAACAAACCAACTGATGGAGTCTGATGGTTGATCTATTTTTGCCCAACCCTTGCAGGCTATGATACACTAACCAATAGAGTGCATGAGGCCGCTGTCCACATTAGCATTGAGCAAGTTGGACATGGCCTGGATGGTGCAGTGACGAAGGGATGCCAGACGTCGTGACATTCCTCTCTTCCGTCCCCCCACTGGCTGACCATCGTCCTCAACCTCACTGCAGTCATTCAGCAAGTTCATGAAAAGGGTGAAGTATCTGAAAACAAACAAAAAATTAAATAATAAAGTTTTAAAAATAATAACCGGTTAGGGGTGGGCGTTATGGCTCAAATATAATATTGTGAAATTTCAGAGCATTCTGACGATAACAATACATTTCATGATATTCAATTCAATTCAAAAATAATTTATGAATCCCAGAGGTAAATTATATGTTGTGGTAACTCATCATCCTGGTTTCATTAAAGAGTTGTTCTAGATGCTGATGGCTGTGGGCAGGAAGGATCTCTTGTAGCGTCTGTCCTACAGCAGATCTGAAGAAGCCTCTGGCTGAAGACACTTTGTTGTTGTATGAAAGCCTGTTGTTGTATGACAGTCTGATGAAGAGGATGCTGAGGGTTGTCTATAATCTTCTTCATTTTATGAAGAATCCTTCTTTGTACAATCATCTCTTTTGTTTTGTTCATGTTCAAGATGAGATGATTGTTTCCACACCATGCCACAAAGCGGTCCACCAGTTCCCTGTACTCAGCTTCTTGTCCATCTCTGATACACCGACCACTGCAGAGTCATCAGAATATTTCTGCAGATGACAGGAGTCTGTTTTGTACTGGAAATCTGAGGTGTACAGTAGGGCTGCAACTAACGATAATTTCAATAATTGATTCATCGACCGATTATTTTTTTTCGATTAATCGACGAATCAGCAAAAAAAACAACAACGTTTTAATTTCCACCCCTTTATTCCAAAATTGAACATTTGACTGACATAGCAATTCACACAAAAAACAGGTTGCTATTTGACTATTGTGTTAGTAAAATATCGAATGATAAAAAATAAAAGTTAGTCAAATAGCTTAAAAAAACAAATGTACACAAAAATATATACAAATGTGTCTTTATACCTGCACAATATGTAGCTACTTTGTAAAATGTGTCCTTGAGGGAAGAGTGTAACCTGGATTAAAAGTGTGGATTATTGTAACCTGGATTAAAAGTGTGGATTATTGTAACCTGGATTAAAAGTGTGGATTATTGTAACCTGATTAAACGTGTGGATTATTGTAACATGGATTAAAAGTGTGGATTATTGTAACCTGGATTAAAAATGTGGATTATTGTAACCTGGAATAAAAGTGTGGATTTTTGTAACCTGGATTAAAAGTGTGGATTATTGTAACCTGGATTAAAAATGTGGATTATTGTAACCTGGATTCAAAGTGTGGATTTTTGTAACCTGGATTAAAAGTGTGGATCATTGAAACCTGGATTAAAAGTGTGGATTATTGTAACCTGGATTAAAAGTGTGGATTAT